GTGGGGCGCAGCAGTGGTGTCTTGGCCTGTTCATGACAGCCATTTTATATGCAGAAGTCAGCAAGTGATGCTTTTCGCAGTATGGAGAAAAGCAGTATGGAGAAAAGCATTATCACCGTGAGTGTGACACGGGGTCGGTGGTGTGTTAATAATCAGTGTTAAAGAGCACTTGAGATGGCACCTTCGTATGCGCGTGTGTGCACGGAGGGGAACGGGTTTGAGGGAAGGAGCAATTTTTAGATTCTGACAGAAAAAGTGTTCTCACAAATACATCTTTTCCTTCCTTTCTCAGCGTGAAGTTGTGTTGCTGTCAATGACCACCAGATGGAGGAAAAACCCGTTTCTGGCAGGCAAATTGCCTTTTAGCTACAGCTACATAAAAATTGTCATCTTCCTCTTTATAAGGCCACACATATTTGCTTGTTTAAATGTTTCGCCTGCCTGACTCTGAAGGCTTCAAATGGGCAATAAGACATTGAGTGGTGTCGTACATAAAATAACCAGTCAAATAAGTGAAACATAACCACTGTTAGAAGCCACTCATGGCTGGCTGCTCGTCCGTCTATTCAGCCATCAAGGAGTCTATTAAAAAGGACGACTCAATTACGCAGGTGTGAACCTGACAGGGTTGCCAACTTTTCAACTGGTCCCTCTAGCTGTCCTTTTGCATCAGCTCAATCTGCAGCAATCATTAAGTGATGCCATTTACTTCCGTGCCATGAAAAGCGTCAACCGCTCGTTTCTGCTTATTAAGCCTCTGTTAAAGAGACTGAATATTTTGTTGTTGTTCCTGGCCATTAGGCCACCTTAGAAACTGGGTAAATAGAAACTGAAATGCTGATCCTGGCTTCATACGAGTCCTCCAACGAATTACAGAAGAGAACAGAAATCCAACATTGCATTCAGGACTGCAGACATCTTAGCTGGGCAGGAGAGGGAACTGGGAACTGGATTTTCCCAATGGCAGAGGGGGGGGGGGGAAGAGATGTGAGACCCGAGTAAGTGTCAAGATGGGTAGCTGTGTTAGTCTGCCTGTAGCAGTAGAAAAGAGCTTTGAGTCCAGTATCATCTTAAAGACTAACAAAATATGTGGCAGGATAGGAGCTTTCGTGAGTCACTGCTCACGTCTTCAGGAGCAAGTGTGATTTCACTGAAACACAGGCATTAGTCTGTAGTAGGGTTGCCACCTTCCAGGTGACACCTTGAGGTCCCCTGCTATTACACAACCAAGATAACTTCCCCTGGAGAAAATGGCTGCTTTGGAGGGCGGACAATGTGGCATTATATCTGGCTGAGGCCCCTCCCCTCCCCAAACCCCTCTCTCTCCAGGATCCACCCCCAAAATCTTCAGGTATTTCCCAGCCCTAGAGCTGGCACTGCGAGCTTGTACAGAGACAGCTGGATTTAAAACCTACTACGCTTCAGCAACAATTAATTACAACTGTGCATTTATGCCAACTGGTCATTAGAAGGGGGGGGAGAGAGAGACAGAAAGAGAGAGAGAGAGAGGATATATCAGGCTGGGTGGCTACCTGGATTTAACATATAGAGGGACGGCTGGCTAAGCAGGTAGAGCATTGGTATTGTCCGATTCCCCATGCATTCGAAATAAATCCATGGTTGATGAACAAAGTAGAATTTATTATAAAGCGATGGTTAGATCAGGAACACAAGAATTGTTAGGAATGACTACAGACCCCAAAGGGTAACATAATAAAGGAACTTGAACCCGGGCAGGACCAATGAGTCCAATTCCCACTGACGGGAGTGTAGATAAAACTAGCGCCCAATTCCTTGGGAACACAACGGTTCTACAACATAAACAGAAGTTCAGTTCTCAGGCATCAAATACATAATAAGCAGAGCAACGCCATAACTCCATCCCACCTCCAGCTGTTTGACCTTGAGCAGTTCCGCAGTGTAGCAAGCAAGAGAAAGTAAACACCTACACAGGAGGTGGGGGGGAATGACCAGAGTACAATGAAACATGTAGAATAGAACATACAACTTAATGGCAGCTTGCTGACAGGTTGGAAGCTGAACACTGGATGAATGGGATGGGAAAAGAAGCAGAATATATCTGAGAACAGTAGAAGAAATTAAAATGGAAGTTAGAAAGAAGAGGGGGAAGAAGTCCAACCCACCAGCCTTCGATCTGGCTAGAGTGTGGACGCAGTCCTGGTGTGATCCCATGGGGTTTCGAATCACACTTCGGCCTAATCGAAGGGCCTCCTGAAGTTGTGTTGGGCTCATCCTCAATTCTCAGTCTGTAAAATGGATTTAAGAGTGACCCAGTGGCTGAAAGGTAAGGGACTGTGGTTAGCATTCTGGGTTTTAAGGCTGGATGAAGTAAATACATGGACATGTGTGTGCATGTGATTGAGACAGAAAATGCGTGCATCTGTGGACTAAAAGATGCTTGGGAAAGCTGACAGTCACGACTATCCAGAGCCTTCAATCGAATCTGCATTCAGGAAAAGACACAGGGGGGAGAAGAAAGCAAACGGGTGATAAAGCGGGTGTACCTGGTGGTGTTACCTTAAGACAATGTTGCTGATGTAATCAACTATACCACCCAAACACTGACTCTCTGTCATTCTTTGCAATCTTATGCCCATGCAGGAATACACTGTTTGACTGGTGATGGTAGTGGTGGTGGAAAGTAATGTCAAGTCACAGCCGACTTATGGGAACCCCATAGGGTCTTTTAAGGCAAGAGATGCTCAGAGTTGGTTTGCCGCTGCCTGCCTCTGTGTAGCGACCCTGGAGTTCCTTGGTGGTCTCCCATCCAAGTACTAACCAAAGCTCACCCCGCTTAGCTTCTGAGATCTGATGAGATCCGGCTAGGCTGAGCCATCCAGAATTCAGGGCACTGTTTGACCCTCAAACGGACGGCAGTCCCAAGCAACTGTGTGGGTGGCCTGTTACAGAGGAGACAGCCCCAGGAGCTGGCAGCCGGGCTTCATATAAATCCCACCATCACTGTTCCACCAACACCCTATGCCATATAAATCCCAAGCTGAGCTGGCAATTCAGCGGGAAAGGTGGTTTAGCAGCTTGCAAAGGCGCAAGCAGAGCAACAAAAGAAGAGAGGCAGAGGGAGTGAAAAGTCAGGGGAGGGGGGGTCATAGGACTCACCTGCGATTTGTTCGGTGCCTTCTGAACCCAGGGGAGACAGAACCAGCAGCAGCAGCAGCAGTGCGGCAAAGGCAGACATGGCCCTTGGGGGCTCCTTGGTTATAATCAGGATGGCTGTGAATCAGGGCTCAGGGCTGAAGCGATACTTAGTGGGTTCCAGGAAAGCTGGGGAGGGGGAGGTGCCAGGAGGATCCCTTGATTCTATGAAAGACGTGTGGAGTCCAGTGCATGTACAGCGGGGGCCGAGACCCAAGAATTCCTCGGTTCTTTGGAAAAGGAGTTGGGTTTAGTGGGCGACAGTGGGGCTGGGCGTCAGGACTCCTTGGAGGGCCAGGCCAGGCTTGCAGCTGGGGTTTGACTTTCCCATGGGATATATACCCTCTCTCCCACTCTGCATCCAAAGTTATCCGTTAACCAGGCCTGGAAAGTGCCAAAGGGCAGGGTGGCCTTCCACCACTGTCGCCGGGAACTCTGAACTTTCCAGTAAGACAACAGAGCAGGGTCAGTGTGGGAGGAGACGGAACCGATGCGCCCCAGATCTCCCCTAGCCTCAGCACCACATCCTCTGCACGGGCTCTGTTCTCCTCTGACCAGGAGCCCCATGGATACAGCACAGAGGGACCCACAAAGTCCTCCGGCAGGGTCTCTCGCCAAGCCTCCCAAGCAACTGTTTGGGTAGGGGCACAGCAGCCCCTAGCTAGGGAATTCTTTGGGAGGGGGCATTGGGGGGGCACCAGCTAATTAAATGGAAGTACAGTGCAGGTGGTAAGTTGGAGCATTTTGGGGGCAGCCCAGGAGGGAGGGGGCCCAGAAGAAACACTAGGGGGCCGGGCCCCATGTTAGCTACGGGCCAGGGGCACAGTCTGGAGGGAACTGATGCATGGCACAGATTGGCACCCAGTCATCAGTGGCGTGGGTGGTGAGAGGTGACAAAATACCTTGAAAAGGTCAGGGGGGGTTGGGGACCCCTCCCCAGATTTCCCCCCCTGCCCCCCCCCCCAGAATGCAACTTCTGACCTTTGGCAGTACCTGTCACTGTCCTGCAGTCCCAGGGCAGAGAGCCCTTTCTCAGCCCAACTTCTCAGCCCCGCACTCACTCCTTTTAACCAGAGGGATATTTCCCCCCCTTCCCCCCCACCCCAGCGGGCAAGATCTAATGGGGGTCAGGTCCTGGGGGAGGGGGGAGAACGGGGAACCAGGACGCCTGGGTTCTCCGGGAGGGCAGGGGATCCGTGTGCAAGGGTGAGCTGGGTCGAGGTGGGGGGGAGAAAGAGAGAGACTCCCGGGCTCCCTGGAGAACGACGCTGCCTGCCGAGCGAGTCCTCTGGAAACTCCTCCTCCTCCTCCCTCCCTCCCTCCCAGCCAGGCAGAGACCCAGCCCCACTCCGCGCACAACCTGTTCGCGCCTCCCGCTCGCTCTCGAGGGCTCAGCGTCCCCCCTTCGCCTCCCGCCTGCTGCTCCAGCCGCCGCCTGCCTCGCTCTGCCTCCATCCCCAACTCCTCAGCCTTCCTTCGCCGCCCAGCCAGCCAGCCAGCCAGCCTCCCTCCCTCCTTCCCTTCCTTCCACATCCCTGCATCTTTCCATCCATCTTCCCACGCCCCGTCGGTCCTTCGCGCCTTTCCTTCTCCCACCGCTTCTCCGCTTCCCGGGTATCCCTCGTCCGTTTGCACCGCCGACCGGCCAAAGCCGCCCTCTCCCCGGTCCCTTCCCCCCCCTCTCCCCGCTTCTCCGGCTCCTGCGCCCCTGGCTTCTCCGTCTGCGAAGCGCTTCTGCCACCCCCGCTCCCCCTCGCCTCCGGATCCCTCCCTCCGCCCGCCCGGGTCAGCGGCTCTGGTCAGCGGGGCTTCCCCCAGGGGGCACCATGGCGCTGCTGAGCTCCCCCACGGAGACCGAGTGCCTCACCAAGCCGCTCTTCTGCCGGAAGGGGGCGCTGCGCCAGAAGGTCATCCACGAGGTGAAGAGCCACAAGTTCGCCGCCCGCTTCTTCAAGCAGCCCACCTTCTGCAGCCACTGCACAGACTTCATCTGGTGAGACTGAGAAACCTGACCCCCCCACCCCCAACCCCCAACCCGTGATGTCCCCACAGCTCCTTGGGCTTCGAACTTGTAACCCCATAGCCAGGGCCGGCTCACTCACTAGGCGAACTAGGCGATCGCCTAGAGCGGGACGGCCCTTAGGGGCACCAAACTGCACCCGGCCCTGTACTCTGGGAGTTTCTTGATTATTTGTGTTTTTCATTCTTCCTAAAATGCATTTATTTTTTAAAATTGGTGGGCACACGGAGGGGGGCAGAAGGGATCCTCGCCTAAGGTGCAAAATAAGCTGGAGCCGGCCCTGCCCATAGCACCCGTCCCATACACTTGCAGCCCGCATCCGATAACCTCGCCGCGGGCCCTGTAACTCTTCCACCGTCTCCGGGCTGCCCTCCCTTCCACGATTCTGTTCCAGTGCAGACCCACTGCAGGATTTGGGGGTGGGTGCAGGTCAGTATCCTCTCGAGAATGGCGGCTTTGGTGCCTGTACCTCTGTGTGTGTGTGTGTGTGTGTGAAAGCAAGTTCCTAGTCCTTCGGGCTTTGAAGGAATTCCTGAAAGAGCGTGGGCAACGAAATCCCCAAAGTTAGAAAAAGTAGGCCTTCTATAACTTTGTGTCTTTCCCCATAATGGGGGGGGGAGGAATTTGGGGTTTGCTGTTCTTTGGTTTTAGCCGAGGATGTTTTAACTATTATCGTCAGCCGCCTTGAACCAAGACAAAAGGGAGGATATAAATGTTTTAATGAATAAATAAAATTTTAAAAACCAGAAGAATTATGGAAATATATGCAAGTTTTCACAAATGTGCATAGGTCATGGTGTTTACTCCCCCCCCCCTTTGCTGGGGATCTTGAATGATCTTGGCCCAGCACTGACTCGTTGCAACCCATGTTAGTGGCCCTTCCAGCTCAACTTGTCATCCGTGACTATTGGTGGGTCTTCAGTCAAGCTATCATAATTGAAGGGATCTGTCCCTTTTCTGCCATATGAAATGTCTTAAGAGAAATTGCCAAGGCTCAGATCAGTGGGTTCAGACATGCAAACTAGCTGTGGGATTACTGTCTCTCTTGACAGATGTTCCAGATCCTATAATCTTGTTATCCTGCAATTTTCCCCTGTATCTCCTTAGATCTTGGGCTATAAACCTATAGTCCCCAAAGTGTACCTTTGTTGTCCTGATCCTATCATAGCCCTGCCTTGAGAACATTATATTTCACCAACAGGGTCTCTCGGCTTCACTCTTGTGACCGATTACTCTCTTTCTGTTGTGCCGCAGTCTTGTCATATGCTGTGACCCTAGTCCTCTACCAGGACGTGCAGTCCCCGTATAATCCTGTTTGCTCCTGTGTTCCCCCTTCATTTGCAATTCTGCTTCCAGGAAACTGTCTGCAATCAGAAAATATTATGCAAATGGATGTGTATTTACATAATGACCTGAGTTTGAATAATTCATTTTGCTTCTGTGATTCAGACACGGAAATGATTAGATATGTTTGTGGCAGGGAAAGGGGTACTTGTAGGCGAGCAGAGGAAAGGAAAGGGCAGCGTGGAAGTGTTTTTCCAGGCTTTAACCTCGATCTAACGAGAGCTAGAACCCTGCTTTTAAAAATGGACAATGTGGTTCTCAGAATCTCAAATCCAATGCTATGTATGTTTATTTCTTGGAATGCACACTGTCATAATCTCAGAATTCCCCCTTCTCCAAGACAGCTCCTTTGGTCCTTGATTTTGATTTTCCAATCTCATCAGATTTTATTTGTTTCCAACCTCAGAAAGCTATAGTCCCAACGAATCTGAAATTTTGGACAGGGGGAAGTACAGCGTACACACAACCATACACCCTGGACATATAATGTACTATCTACAATCCTCCCCCTCACTACATCCCTGATTCCAAGGGGGTTTGTCCCTGATTTAGTACTTCTGTCCCACCCTTAACAATTCTGGGTCTGAGAAGGACATGGCTGACTTGGCAAACTGCGGATCGTTCATCAGTTCAGAGCTTCACTGGGGGCAGTATTGTGATCACGATATAATCAAGGGGTCATTAAAATATTTTAATTCTAAAATCTGGAGTTGGAAAACAAGTCCCTAAAAGCTTAAATGGTCATTATAGTCCTTTATTATTATTTTTTACACAGCAGGTTCAGCTTTCAGAGTGGGTGTGACAGCCAAAACATTGCATTGTGCCACTAAAGAACAATGTACCATCATTAGACACTCTCTCTTTTGGAAAGCACATTTAGTGTTGCTCTTTGCCACTTCCAGAAGCTCCCTTCTCGCAAACATCCCCCCCCCCAACAAACATATTCCTGAAGACAGCAGGAGTGATGGAAATTTGTTCCGACACAGAGTTCTGCCGTCACGAAAAGCTAGGGACAAACTCTGCGCATAATACATTTTCTGCTTATGATGGGCAGAGATCCCAAAATCATGAACAATCCATTAGGTGAAAAAATTATGAGCGGGTGGCAAACCTACAACTGCGACAGGCTCTCATAATAAACCGTTTTCAAGTCTACTGAACTGCTAGGGATAGGCAAGGAATGGGCTGTATTCCATCGATGCTGGCAAGAGAGTGCAAGGGGAAGAGCTACATAGCTGGAGGAAGACAGGTTTTTAGGTTAGGCATCTAAAGATTTTCTGTTTGTTCAGGTTAGTCGGATGAAGGAGCCAAAGGCGCGGTGGAGTCACAGAAGTCATAGAATCATAGGAGTCATAGAATCTGGATGTCCAAACCAACCAATAGGAAGTACTGAACCAAATCATTGAGTCTATTTCCCACAATTCCCTTCTACCCAGGAATGCCCATACTGCAAGGTTGCAAAAGAACTGGATAGTAATGTGAAAATCGCTAATGACATTGTCTAGAGTTCTGGATTTTGGGCTGCATGACTTTGAGCCAGTCACTGCCTCTCAGCCTAACCTACTTCAAAGGGTTGTTGTGAGGGGGAAAAGGTACACCACCCTAAGCAGGAACGGGAGGGTAGACATTACATTGTATTACACCGTGAGTAGTCAGAAGATTCGCCTCACAGTAAATGTGGTAACAACTTGATTAGTTGGGCCTTAGAAGTCATGGAGCTGCGGTGGCTCAAGTGGTTAAGACGCTGAACTGCAGGCTGTGGAAGGTCAGTAGTTCAGCAGTTCAAGACCCAGGTGCCGCAAGACGGGGGTGAGCTCCTGTCTCTAGTTCCAGCTCCCGCCAACCTAGCAGTTCGAAAGCAAGAAATTGCAAGTAGATAAATAGGTACCACTTCGATGGGAAGGTAACAGCGTTCCGTGCGCCTTGGTGTTTAGTCATGCCGGCCACATGACCACGGAAACGTCTTCGGACAGCGCTGGCTCTTCGGCTTTGAAACGGAGATGAGCACCGCAACCCTAGAGTTGGATTCGACTGGCTTTTGAGCAAGGGAACCTTTACCTTTTTAGAAGTCATGGAGGCCAGGTTTATCCACAGCTATTAGCCAGGATACTTCAACAGAACGTCCACGTACAGAAGCAGTTAACCTCTGAATAGCAGGCAATGGGAAAACACTGATTCTCTGATTATGTGTGTGCAGTTCTCAGAGGTAATTCTCTGGCCACTGTTGGAAAGACAATGCTGGGATAGCCTTTGGCCTAGGGTTGCCAGATATCCCGCTATTACAGTTGATCTGGCATTATACCCTGCTGAGGTCTCTCCCCTCCCCAAACCCCGCCCTCCCCAGGCTCCACCCCCAAAATCCTCCAGGTATTTCCCAACCCAGACCTGACAACCCTACTTTGGCCTCCTCCAGTAAAAGAGTGCCGATGTGTTTTGGTTCTGGTGGGCCTCCCACATACCATCTCAGGACTTTGGAGCTCCGCTTCCAGGGCTATTTTGGGGCAGGAACGCAGTTCCGGCTGGCTTCAGAGTTGGCCACGCCCACTACAGCCAAAACCTCTGTGTGCGTGCCTACAGAGGGAAGGCCTGGAGAGCGACACCCCCCCCCCAGGGACTCTGAAGTGGGTGGGCCAGGGGGCCCCCTGGAAGGATCGGGGAGGCATTTAAATGCCTCCCCATGCCTTCCCCGGCCTGTCCAAGGGCCGGCTTGTCCGGGCTCCCCGCAGCCGTGGGGTGCCCGGGCAAGCCAAGGGACGGCATGGGGTGTGGCCTAATATGCTAATGAGCCGTGCTGTCAGGGGTGTGGCCTATTATGCTAATGAGTTCCTGCTGGGCCTTTTCTACAAAAAACCCCCGTCCGCTTCCATTCCCTACCCTGTCTCCCTCTCCAGTGGTAGGGTTGCAAACTGTGGGTTGGGAAATCCCTGGAGATCTGGGGGGTGGAGCCTGAGGAGGGTAGAAGGAGGGGCCTCAGCAGGGTACCATGCTATGGTGTCCACCCTCCAAAGCGGCCATTTTCTCCAGGGAAACTGATTCTCTGTTGTCTGGGTATCAGGTAGAATTCTGGGAGATCTTCAGGCCACACCCACCTCCTGCGCAGAAGGCAGTGATAGAAGAACTAAGCCTCATTCTGCTGGAACCTTAAAAAAACCCAAACCCAGCCCTCATACTCTTTTTGTGAAACGACAGGATGGGCAGAGGGAAGCATGAGGCTGTCACAGTTCCTAGTCGTGCTGGACTGTCAGATTCTCTGCCATTCGGACAGATCCTATAAGCAACAGGAAGTGTAAACTGGAGCTGCATCCGTTTCTTCCACACATCTGGTTCAAACCAGAGGGCAGCAGCTGCTCATGCAGCCTCTATGGAGCAGGGATCTGGGGGGAGGGGCCCCAATTATTTGACTAGTGGACGCTGTGTATGGCTGCCACCTCCAGTCTGGGAAATTCCCTGGAAATTTGGGGGTGGTGCCTGTGCAGGGGAGAATTCGGGGAGGGATTTCATCTAGAATCTATGGTATAGCATGGAGTTTGCCTTTGAAAGCTGCCATTTTCTCCAGGGGAAGTGCTCTCTGTAGACCAGAGGGCGTCTGTGATTCTGGGAGAACTCCTGGTGCCACCTGGAGATTGGCA